TGTGTGTGTGTGTGTCGATCGGTGACAGCTAAATAATGCTTATGCGGCGCCAACACAAGTTACACCAAACTCATCATAAGTCAAAGGCAGCCAAAGAGCGAGGAGCGGCGTGGCGCCAACAGAATCAATCAAAGAACAACCGGTCAGATTTAAACCAACAACAACCACAACGCGACAACACAAAGAACAATAAAAATTCATGTTTTCATTGCGGTAAGCCAAATCACGACTTCATCAATTGTAAGTATAAGTCATATACTCGTAAGTGTAAAATTTGTTCTAAGGTGGAACATTTGGCAACCATTTGTAAAAATAAAAAGTTGATAGATAATGTAGAGGTCATGAGCGACGACTGTATTGACTATTTGGATGAATTCAATTTGTTTAAGATTAAGCCTGATACTAAACCGTTTCAAGATGCTCACATACCCCCTGAATTAATAGCAGTTGAGGTTAATAATAAGAATTTTATCCCTTTCCCAAAATTGAGGAGTTATTTGCAAGCGTACAAGGTGGTGAAAAGTTCTCTAAGTTAGATTTTAAAAATGCATATAATCAATTAAAGGTAGATTCACAAACAAGCAAGTTATTAACATGGAGCACACACAAAGGAGTATATGAAGTTTTAAGATTACCTTAAGGTGTCAAACCAGCTACAGCCATCTTTCAAAGTGAGGTAGAGAAAGTTTTTAAAGATTGTCTCTTTACAGCTAATCTATTGGATGACTTAATTGTAACAGGTAGGAATGACAAGGAACACTTCGAAAATTTAAGGGAAGTTTTTAAGCGTTGTAAAGAAGCTGGATTTCAACTTAATAAAGACAAGYGTCAGTTCTTTAAAACCCAAGTCGAGTACTTAGGACATGTAATTGTTAAAGAGGGGTTAAAAACAAGTGAAAAAAAAGTGAAAAAAAAGTATTATGCATTTCAAATATTCCAATTCCTAAAAACGTTACCGAACTAAAGTCTTTTTTGGGAATGATTAATTACTATGGTAAGTTCATTAAAAATGTATCAACTATATTAGCTCCACTTTATAATCTACTTAAAAAAGAGATACCATTTATTTGGAATGATCAATGTTCAAAAGCTTTTGTTAAGGTAAAAAAGTTATTAAAATCTGATCAAATTCTAACTTCAATCCTACTTTATCCATAATTTTATCATGCGACGCATCTCAATTTGGTGTAGGAGCTGTCATTTCTCATAAATTTCCAGACTCATCTGAGCGACGCATCACGCACATTGACTAGTGCTGAGAAGAACTATTCTGTTATTCACAAGGAAGCGTTAGCAATTATTTGGGGAATAGCTAAATTCTATCAATACTTAAAAGGTAGAGAATTCATTATTAGATCTGATCACAAACCTCTGATACCATTACTTGGAGAAAATAATCCAATTCCTAAAATGGCATCAGGACGATTACAAAGATGGGCATTTTTCCTTTCAGGATTTAATTATCATATTGAGTACATTAAAGGCTCAACAAATACCATAGCAGACAGCCTATCTCGCTTACCATGTGCATGTCTAGAGAGTGATGAACAACTAACTGAGGTAGGGAATAACACTGATGTTTTAAACTGGGTAGAAGGATATTTACCTGTTAGTTTTTTACAGATTAAAGCTGAAACAGCTAAAGATAAAATTTTACAAAAAGTAATGTGTTATTTAAACAGTAGTTGACCTAAAGATATACCTAATGAATATTAAAACCATTTTACAATAGAAAAGATGAATTAGTGATAGAAGATAATATATTAGTGTGGGGTTACAGAATAATTATACCTTATAGTCTAAAGGAGTTACTTTTAAAAGAATTACATAGTTCTCACCTTGGCATCGTTAAAATGAAATCTATGGCTCGTTCATACTTTTGGTGGACATATATAGATTCTGACATTGAACGTACAGCCAAAAGTTGCTCTCTATGCTTAGAAAGTAGACCTGAACCACAAAAATGTATTCTAACTAAATGGCCAAAATCACTACATGTCTTTGAGCGCATTCATATGGATTATTTAGGGACGTACGTTTCCCCAGCCCCCCCACATTGTATTTTTGCAATTTTTTTTTGGTTAATATTTTGTACTGAATTTGTAAGATAAACACCTAAATTTGTACGATTTTATTTTCAGAACCATACAAGAATTCGAGTGGGGGGCTATAGAAACGTTTTGCCAGCCCCCCCGTTTCTGAAATAATCTATTTATATAAAATTTCTATGCAGATATTTAGTACGAAATTTGTACGAATTTGTACGACCATTTGCGAAAATTTCGGAAAATTCCTTACAA